GGTGGCAGTCGCTGTGAAATTGGGGCCTGACCTGGTTTGCCTCCCAACAGGCAAAGCGCACCAAGAAGGTTGGGATCGTGGGTAAATATGGTACCCGCTACGGCGCGTCCCTCAGGAAGATGGTGAAGAAGATTGAAATCAGCCAACACGCCAAGTATACCTGCTCCTTCTGCGGCAAGGTGAGACATCTCCTTCCCGCAAAAAAAAGCCTTTTAAAAATCACACTGTTATTGGCGTTAGAAAGGCAGTCTGATGTTTTAGGCATTTTTGTACTGAATTTCTTTTATTCAGTAACTTTTCTACTAACTTAACTAGTTTGAGGCAGTGTCTAGTGCATGGTGAGCTTTGGGCTGCTGTCAGAATCCATGACAAAAGAGATAGTAGCCATTTCATGTGCATGTTTAGAGGTAGTTAAGTGAAAGCAAACATCAGTTATATTTCATTGCACAAAATAGCAGCGTTGCCATACTGTACATTTTAGGTATCTAATAAAAAGACCTGAGTGAATTAAATCATCAGACTTGTTATCCTGATAATTAAGGCATGACTTGGGCTTTTTGTTTTCCCTTTAGTAACTGCAGCATACCTGGAGAAGGAAGAGCTTGTTTTTCCACTTTAAACTTCTGATGGCAGTTGCTTACTTACATTTGTGTGCTGTGTAACTTTGGATGGGGAAGAATTTCTGATAAGGAGTAATCTTACCTGCTCATGTACAGAATCAAAATTCACTCTTAAATCTGGTTTTTGACAGTTTGAGACACTATCAGCCTGTGCTTTGCCCAGATATTGATAATCTTTAGAGTAGGTATCTTTAAGTGGCTAGGAATATTATTTTCATCGGGTGTTTTGTTTGTTTGTTTGTTTGTTTTGGGGGTTTTTGGCTGTTGTTTTCTTTTTTGACTTCATGGCCTCACACATGACATGAGGATGTTGGTAACCCCATTGGCAGAGCTGCCTAGATCCAATATAGCTCTAGGCAAATGCATTGTCACCTATGCAAGGTGGTGGATACTTGCCTGGGGGAGAGGAAATCAGTCCCCATTGCTCAGTCTTTAGCTTCTGTTTGAAGGGAGTCTGGTTTAGAGCAATCTTGGGTTGTCCAGGAAGTTCTGGGTATGGTGGTGTTATATCATCATCAAACCAGGTGAGAATATCAGTTGTTGTGACTAATGTAACTCCTTACTTCTTTTTTCAAAAAGAGCTAAAGTTTTGATGATGCGTTTAGAAATCACTTCATATTTGAATGAAAAAGTGTTTCAGGAGGCCTTTCCGTGTTCTGAAGAATCTGAATAAAACGATTCCCTGATCCTTGCCAGTCTTTACTAGGCTCTCAGCACTGCTGTGGTGTGATGCTGAAGTCCTCACCTGGAGCTTGTTGCTTGGCTTTTTCAGCTGATGGAGAGTATTTTTTTTCCCCTTTCTCATTTATTTTAGACCAAAATGAAGAGGAAGGCTGTGGGTATCTGGCACTGTGGATCCTGCATGAAGACAGTTGCTGGTGGTGCCTGGACTTACAAGTAAGGAAGTGAAAAAGCTGCTATCAGCATTTATTCTCATGTAGCTGGGGCATAATGCACCGTTTGGTTTCTTATCTATTGTTTCTTTATTTTAATTACTAACCATTAAGTAGATCTGTCTTGAGTTACTGATATGTGGGGATTTTTTGCCTGCTTTGTTAAATCTGATGGCAGTGGATGAAATTGGGTTTGATTGCTATTCTTTGCAATAGGCAAAACCAGATTTACTCCCAAGGAAAATTACTTTCATGTTTTCCTCTTGCTGTAAAAGCACTGAATCATAATAACCCTCACTGTGCAGGTGTTCTTGCTTACTCCCTGTCTTTATTCTCTCCCCCACAACTCTGGTAGAAGATGCTGTTGCCCCACGTGTAACATTTGTGAGGACTGTGAGCCCACACACTTGTGCATGTGGTCAGCACATGGCTGCCGAGTTTGGGTTAAGATGTAGCCTGTGAAGTTGCATGTGTTTCTGTAGACAAAGGCCTGTGCATTGTTGTCATGAAAATAAAAGTGGAATTAGACCCCTGTTGACAGTGCAATCAGGCGATAACTGCTTGGAGTGCTTTCTCAAAAAGTAACACTGGCAGGATTGTTCTGCTGCCACGTGCAAATGACTCTGCTTCTTCCTCCAGTACCACCTCTGCAGTGACAGTCAAATCCGCGATCAGAAGACTGAAGGAATTGAAAGACCAGTAGAAGCTACTGCCTGTTCTCCTTGTGGAACATCCTTTTTCCCACACTGTCAGGATCTGTCCTTTTAACAATAAAAAGGTGACAATGGAATGGAATTATGTTCGTGTTTCCTACAAGAATTCCTGTCTTTTTTTGTTGTACGTAGTGGGTTAATCCTGACTGGATGTCAGGTGCCCACCAAAGCTGCTCCATCACTGCCCCCGTGGGGAGAGGAGACGTAACAAAAGGTTCATGGGTTGAGATAAGGGCAAGGAGAGATCACTCATCAGTCATGGGCAAAACACACTTGACTTGTGGAAATTAGTTTAATTTATCACCAATCATATCAGAGTAGGATAATGAGAAATAAAACCAAATAGTAATTCCACTCACACCTCCCTTCCTCCTGGGCTCAACTTTGCTCTTGATTTTCTCTCCTTCCTCCTCACCAGTGGTGAAGGGGGATGAGGGATGGGGGCTGCAGTCAGTTCATCACATGCTGACTCTGCTGCTCTGTCCTCCTTGAGGGAGGGCTCCTCATGCTTCCTCTGCTCCAGTGTGGGTCGTTTTCACAGGGTGCAATCTCTCAGGAGCCCCATGAGGTCACAAATTCTGCTAGCAAACCTCCTCCAGCATGGACTCCTTTCCATGGGGCCCCAGGTCCTGCCAGGAGCTTGCTCCAACATAGGCTTCCTAATGGTGTCTCAGCCTCCTTTGGATATAGCCCTGCTTTGGCATTGGGTCATCCATGGGCTGCAGGTGGATCTCTGCTCCACCATGGACCTCTGTGGGCTGCAGGGGGACAGCCTGCCTCACCACTGCAGGGGTCTGCTCCAGTGCCTGGAGCACATCCTCTTTCTCCTGCACTGACCTGGGTCACTGCACAGCTGTTCTTCATACACTCTCATTCCTCTCTCTGGCTGCAATTGCTGTTGAGTGGGTTTTTTCCCCTTCTTAAATCTTACCCTAGATGCACTACCTCTGTCACTGAGGAGCTCAGCCCTGGCCAGTGGTTGGTCCATCTTGGAGCTGGCTGGCATTGACCCTGTTGGACGTGGGAGAAGCTTCTGGCAGCCTTTCTCAGAAGCCCTCCCTGTAGCTCCCCCTGCTACCAAAGCCTGACCATGCAAACTCAGTACACTGTGCTGTATTTATAGGTGTAACTACGGAGACAGTAGTAGTGCTATCCAGTAGTTGAGTGGCTCTTGATACTGGGGAAGCCATTAAAAACCACTTCTCAGGTAATTGCACACTTTGTTACTTGAATGCACTGAGGTGAATCTGGGGAAATCTTAAATAACTTGAAGAAGCCTAGCTCATCTTGGTATGTCCTTCATGTCTGTGTCTTGAGGAGTAGTGTAGAGCTCCATAAGTGAAGGAATGGACGGATGTGAGGGAAGAGTGGAGAGAACACAAAACATCATTCTGCCTCTTCCCATTTGCCTTTGAAAGGGGCTCAGGGTCTAGGGCATATGCTGCAAGATGGAGAGTAAAAGAGTATTGTGACTGATTTGGAAGAGACTGGAATGGTAAAAGAGCAGCTTACTCTCTGCTGTTGGCTGGTGCTGCTCATTTTCCAGTGCCAGCCACAAACAATTGTGTACTACAGACTGAAGCAAGTTCTGTTGTCAGCAGATCTTGGGGTTAGTCCACTTGAACGCTCCGCTCTCTGTGGCTCACTCTCCTTTGCTCTGGTAGCAGGCTCCCATACTTATATGTTTGAGTTGCCTAATCCATACTGAGTGGCTGCAGTAAATGCTCATGTTGGGAAAATTCCTGGGTCATTCAGTCTTGGGGGAAGAGGTGCTGTTTGAGTTGTTAATTGCCTCCAAGTCACCCTTTTAGACTGTCAAGATGCTGGAACATCTTTTGTGTGCTGGAATATCTATGGTCTGGTTGGTGAATTCGATTTGGCTTAATGTTTCGTTTTCTCTGGGGTTTTTTGGTGACTGACTGCAGCACCTCTCCTGTCCTTAACAATACAGGTCAGGAAACACAAGTTGTTAATAACCTTGGTAGCTGCTATAGGAAAAATAGTAAGGAGGTAGCAGAGGGGTTGCTTGGCCTTGCTCCAAGTTAAGCTTTAAATAGATTTGGGTGGTGATGAGCTATGGCAATAATAACTCATTAATGAACCAGACAACTTCAAAAGATGATTCAAAACTGGACCTACGGAAGAGCCTTTTCCCAAGTTGCAAAATGCCTGTGGCTCACAAGTTTGACTGCAGTGTGCCTGAACTTGTTTCCTAAGCTTTTCTCCCCTTTCAATTCAGTGCTTCAAGCTTCCCTTACTAAAGTAAGTTCATGTATTCAGGTATTTGGTGTCATTCATTGTCACCTACATATCCTCATGTCACCTCCCAACAGGCTTGGTGCTCTAACCACTTCCCTGGTAAGCCATGCCCGGCCACCCTCTGGGTGAAGAACCTTTTCCTGATGTCCAGTCTAAACCTCCCCTGACACAGCTTCATGCTGTTCCCTTGGGTCCTGTCACTGATCATCAGAGAGAAGAGATCAGCACCTGTCCCTCCACTTCCTCTCACGAGCAGGACTGTTTTCTGCAGATTGCTTTTAATTCTTGATTCAGTGTGCTCGGGTCGCACTTCCATGTGCTGAGCTATGACTCTGCATGCCTCTGTGCTTTCTTCGTTAATGCAGAGGTC